AAAATCGGGAGGGTTGGCAAGTATGTTTACGGGGCGTGGTTTGCAATCCTCCCAGCCAATCAGACACAGGAACCTTTTTCTCCCACGAAAGTCTCTGCTCTCTAGCAGGGACGGAAAAGGGGGAAAAAGGTTCTCATGAACTCATTTTAGTTCCGGATTTTTTTGGTGTGAACGCAAAATTTCGGAACTACATCGGAACTAAAGTGGGAAAAGTACTGCGGTGTGAACGCGCCTAATCCTATGAGCCCTATTTAAAAGGGTTACCAGCTATAGTCAATTATAATAACTCACAAGAAGTTAAGAGGCCATGTCACAAAGTTAGATTGACATCACCAACATGTATCATTCATGTTGCTGTATGTGCATTTTTGACCCGGCAGATTTGATCACATTTTCAGAAGACCCATTATAAATTTATAAAAGAACCAAACTTCATGATTTTAGTTTTGTGACAAAGTAGTATGTGCTCCAATCCCTCGATCACAGAAAAATTGAGTTGTAGAAATTATTGACAAGTCATGAAATACAGGTTCTTTATATGCAAACTCTCGACTGTAACTGTATATAACCTGAGCTATCTTAAAGGTCCCCTACACGTCTCTGAAGTGTCCCATCAAATCATTTTCAGAGAGGTTTTTATATAAATGGATCAGGAAAAGAATAGAGGGGGTCTTGTTCCTGAAACTTTCCAAAGCTCTTAGCACAGAGGGGGGGGGGACATGGTTATGTATAAAAGACATGAACAAGTGGATTTTGCCTAATAGGTCACCTTTAACATCTCTAACATAACATTTCGCGGTACTTCCAACTTTAACTAAACTAAAATGACATTTTGGATTGTTTATTTTCTAGTCTTTTAAATGATCCAATGCCTTGTCTTTTCATGCTGCTGCTGCAACGCAAACATTTCCCAAATTGGGATCAATCAATAAAGTACTTTTGATCTTATCTTATAATAAGGGGTTACCTGTTGATTTCCTCGCCTCTCTTCCCCAGCTCCTCGTCTTTCTGAGCGATGGCTTCTTGAGCGACGGCCATCATTTCCCTGCGTCTCTCCGCCTCTCTCCGCCTGTTCTCCTGCAGCGTGTGGATCTCTTCCTCCTTCAGGGAGGCCATCGTTGCCTCTTTGTCCTGCAGCTGCTTCTCCATCTCTGCCTCTCTCTCTGCGGACCCTTTAGCCACCGCTGCTAGCTTCTCCTCCAGCTGCTTCTCCAGCAGCTGAGATTCAGTCCTGCTTTCCTCCGTGTCTGAAAGCTTAGCCTTCAGGGATGTGATCTCACTTTGCAGATCAGAGTTCAGCCTCTTCAGATCTTCAGCAGCAGCGGAGGAGACGGAGAGGTTTGATTCTGTTAGCTTAGCTTCTTCGAGCTGCACTTTAAGCGTCTCCGTGCTTTGCTCCTGCTCACTGAGCTTCAACTTGAGGTCGTTTACAGTCTCGCTGAAGGTCGTTTCCCGCACACTCAGTTTGTGTTTGAACTCATCCAGATGCGTTTGGGATTCCACTTCCTGTTCTCGCAGCTTCTCATTGAGCTCCTTTGACGCCAGGATGTGTTCTCTCAGCTGCTTCACCTCTTCAGCATCGTGTGCTTCCTCCGGCTGCAACATCTCCCCCAGCTCCTGAAGCTGCTTCTTAAGATCTTCAATCTGTTGTTTTAAACCTGCTTCTTGTTGATTTTGCTGCCGTTGTTGTTGTTGTTGTTGTTGTTGTTCTTTTGCTTGTCCGAGATCTTCCTCCAGCTTCAGCATTTCTCTCTCATTGTTCTCCTTTTCCTCGGCCAGGTTCTTCCTGAGCTCGGACACTTCTTCTCTCAGTTGATCATCAGACGTGGCTGAAGTCTGCACTTCCTGTTTCAGGCTTTGCACTTCCTGTTTCAGGCTTTGCACTTCCTGTGTCAGGGTGAGAACCTGGGAGGTTTTCTGCTGCAAGTCCTTGCGGTTTTGCTCCAGTTGTTCAGTTGTTCTCACCGTCACACTGGTCACCTGTGGTCATTTACAAAGATATCACTCTGTTTAGTCATGTATCAAAGAAACTACCGTAATTTTCGGACTATAAGCCGCGCCTTTTTTCCCATTTTTCGACGCTGCGGCTTATATAACGGTGCGGCTAATCTATGGATTGTTACAGCTAACGGCCACTAGGGGACCTCCTAAATCTATGGATGTTACAGGTTACAGTCCACCACCTTTAACTCTATGGGCTCTATGGCCGGTCCGCGCCCCCCACCTTTAAGCGGCGGGCTCCAGCAGGAAAAGCTGGAGGCCGGAAAAGAGTGAGACAGGTAGCGCGCAAAAGTAAAAGTGGAACCGAGAGTGGTACGAGAGACAGAACGAGACATACAGACAGACNGGTTAGCTTAGCCTAATCGATCAGTGCACTACGAAGCCAGTGCTAGACAGTGAACTGTCAACGGGGGGAGCCCCGCCGGTCATTATCGGCCGATATTCACTCTAAATAGTTTGATCGGTGCTCTCTATAAAGGCCGATCAGGAGAGCTGGATCTGATCGATATGGACATAAACGCGAGTGAAGTGTAAGCGGACGCGAGAGAGAGATCAGATCAGCTGCTGAGTCTGAAGGAGACATGCAGCTCTGCATGATCACCTGAAGCTCCGCCCTCTGTTTAGTGAGCTGACCGGACTGCGCAAAATGCGTATATGAAGTGTCATGAACGCAAGAAATCATACCCTCGTGGGGGCGCGCTTATGTGATAGGCTTAGACTGGAGGAGACATCTGATTGGCTATAGATAGAAAAAATTACAAGTACGAATCGGGTGACCGTCAGGGGAGTCTCAAAAAACCACACACGAATGCACAGCGATCCATGCACAGAAAGCGGTTTGTGTTTGCAGGTTCAGGGGATTTAAACGGAAAACAAATATGTGTGGATCAAAAATACATATGTAAAACTTTTTTCTGTGTTTGGATTTTATTTACATGGATATGAAAAGTAACACATTTGTGTGTGCATTGAAAAACACAAGTGTGTATCATGAAATACAAGTGTGAATCCTTCTGTGTGCATGTGATTATTATGAGACTGTTCTGAGCCCATAAAATCCAGGTTCTTTCCGGGCAAACAACCAGGCTGAGTATGCTAAACTAGTGAGATAATCTACAACAAAATGAACATATTTGAACGTGATTTAATTGTAATACACGTTTCAAAAATGATGCCAAAGTAACAACATACTGATACTGGTTAGTAAAAACCATGAATTAATGCTTTGACAAGTCTGCAGATAGACGGCAGGCGAAAAACCTTTTA